TCCGGAGAGCTCCCCCCAAAACCGCTCCGGCGCACAGATCGGCCGCGGCAAGCCTCTCCTGCGCCACCCCCCCGCCGCAGGGAGGCGCCTCTGCTCCTAGCCTGGAGCGAGCATGTTGGAATTCTGCATGTCCACACGCTAGGAAAGCTCCTGCAACCCCACGCTGAGGGTCCAGCTGGCTGGGAAATCTAGGCCGCCCGGCCCAATCGTTCCCTTGGTAAACATGCTTAGAGTTGTAGCTTTTGAGCAGGGGCCATCCCGTTCCTGTTTCATCCGGGGTGAGGCCTACTCCCGAGTAAGCCTGCCTGCGATTGCGTAAAGGCGCTCGATCGATTTCCTCTTGTGCTGTTGACAGCTGCCTAACCAGGGAAATAATAGAGGAGAAGGAGGAGGAGGAGGAGGAGGAGAAGAAGAAGAAGAAGAAGATTGGATTTATACCCCGCCCTTCACTTGGAGTCTCAGCGCGGCTTACAAACTCCTCTCCCTTCCCCTCCCCACAACAGACACCCTAATAATAATAATAATAATAATAATAATAATAATAATAATAATAATAATAATAATAATAATAATAATAATAATAATAATAATAATAATAATAATAATAATAAAAATCCACTTCGTCAAGCTTCCTTTTCTTTGATTTTCACGCCAGAAGCTTCACCTGTTAGATTTCAGCCTGTCCAACAACAACAACAATAAATCCACTCCATCAAGCTTTGATCTTCACGCCGGAAGCTTCACCTGTCCGGTTGCGGTTTCAGCCTGTCCGGTTGCGGATAAAGTCATTCAAGGGAGGGGCGAAGGGCGAATCCCCCCACCCCCCGCGCAAAGCCCCAAGGTGAACCTAGATTCTGCAAAACCAAGTGGCGTGGAATGGGTTCTTCCGGCCCGCATTGCCCTGAGAGCGGCAGAAAGGAAGCCGGACTATCCGGTTCTCCCCTGGGGAAGGGGGGGGGAGTATCAGTGCCTCCGCGCTGCGTAGAACGGACGAGCAGGTGACGTTTGGGTTTACACGAAGGGAGAACCGAACGGGATTCCCCGTAACTAAACCCAAAGAGCCGGCTGGGCTGCTCCACGGGGACCCCTGCTGGTCAGACGGGAAGTGCATCCGGTTTCCGTCTCCGGGAAATCAAAGGGGCACCTTGTGAAGTCCAACAAAGTTTTATTCAAGGCGTGCACACTTCTTCCAATCCAGTGAAAGTTTAACCAGAGTTAATTCTGGGGGTAAGCTTTCTGAAGAAGCGTGCGTGCACGCAAAAGCTTATCCACAGAATTAAACTTTGTTGGACTGAAAGGTGCCCCTGGACTCAGAATTTGATCTGCTGCTGAACAAATTTCGTCCCGGGGCACCTTTAAGACCAATGGTTGGCCATTCTGTGAGACAGGATGCTGGACTAGGTGGGTAATTGGTCTGATCCAGCAGGGCTCTTCTTAGGTTCTTATGTTAAGTCCCAGTCGGTGACCCCAGCAAGGGGCTTTCCAGGCCAGCAAGAAGCAGAGGTGGGGAATCCAAACTGTGGCTCGGGAGCTGCATGTGGCTCTTTGACACATATTGTGCAGCTCCTGGGAGGCTCCCCATCTATTTTCTTTCTTTCTTTCTTTCTTTCTTTCTTTCTTTCTTTCTTTCTTTCTTTCTTTCTTTCTTTCTTTCTTTCTTTCTTTCTTTCTTTCTCTCTCTCTCTCTCTCTCTCTCTCTCTCTCTCTCTCTCTCTCTCTTTCTTTCTTTCTTTCTTTCTTTCTTTCTTCATCCCTCCCCATGTACTTGCTTTCTTTGTTTCTCTCTCTCTCTTTCTTTCCACCTCTTTCATTCTTTCCACCTCTTGCTTTCATTATGTCTCTGCATGTGTTTCTCTTTCTCTCTTTCATTCCACCTCATTCATTCTTTCCTTCCCTCTCTCTCTCTCTTTCACAAATAAATATCATTAGCAAACAAATAAATATCATTGGACAAATAAATATCATTATCAGTATCTGTTTCCCCCCTTTTTGTTTTTATTTTTGGCAGTCCCTTTTTGTTTTTGGCAGTCTCATTTATGTTCATTAAAAAAGCAAATCTGCATATTTTTCAATAAAAATGGGTGTGTGATGTTTGTTCATGTCTTGTGGCTCTCAAACCTCTGACGTTTATTCTGTGTGGCTCTTACATTAAGCAAGTTCGGCCGCGCCTGGGCTATACTGTGCTGCCTTCCCTCCACCGGATTTATTGTAGTGTAGGATAAGTTTTTGGTGGGTTGGGGCCCACTTTGGCCAGGGAGACTTCAGGCAGCCAAAGAGGGGGAGGAGAAAATCTATGACGCTTGCGCCAGCTGCATTGCCACCGGGGACTTCTCTATGCACAGCTCAAAAGGATACTAGATAATGACCATAACCACTTGCCCCCTGGCTTTAGCTACAATAAGGTTTACGGGACTTAAAACACTAACAGATGTAAAGTAAAATGCATTGAAGGAAGTTGGGGAAATCTGTTGTTTTACCCACCCCATCAGGAAAAGTACTGCATTACTCAAGGACTAACAAATCTGTGATCTGGGGCCTGTTAGAAAAGTGAAGGACTACGCGATGTTCCTGCCTCAGTCTCCAGGAGGTTTTGGGCACCACAATTTAAGAAGGAGACCGACAAGCTGGAACGCGTCCACAGGAGGGCAATGAAGATGGTGAGGGGTTTGGAGACCAAGTCCTATGAGCAGGGGTAATTTCCTGCCGGAGCGCACAGGAGCGGAGCTCCGGCAGTAAGGAGCCCAGGGGGCGGGCACATGCAACAAGCCCCGCCCCCTGCTCCCAGCAGCCCTCAGTTGGGCCACAAGGAGCAAGTAGCAGCCAGGTAAATTGCAGAGCCCCCTACCAGGCTGTCTTCAGGTACAAGCTCTCCCTCCTCTGCGAGGGCAGATCTGCACGTCCCCCTCCCCAATAGCTAACAATCCCAAACAGTCCAGTGGAGCATGAGCGGTGGGTGTTGCTTTCTGACACACTTCCGGTGATGTCAGGGGGCGTGGCATATGCTAATAAGTTATGCTAATGAGCTCCTGCACCTCTTTTTCTACGAAGTGACCCCAGCCTATGAGGAAAGGCTGAAGGAGCTGGGTATGTTTAGCCTGGAGAGGAGACAACTGAGAGGAGATACGAGAACCATCATCAAGGGCTGTCATAGAGAGGATGGTGCAGGGCTGCTTGCATTCTTTCCAAGATATTCCTGAAAACCAATAGGTGGGCCAGAAATATTTTTTGGGGGGAGGGGGATTCATCATGCACACTTGAAATCAGACACCACAATCATCACCTCAGCTCAGAGCAGCAGAACAAATAAATATAGTTTAATTCTATTTAAAACAAACTAGACCCTCAAAATGATAGCGCTATTAAAACATTAAGAACATTTATCCACTCAACCCCAAGATCAAGTTGAGAGACAATATCACTAAATGCAGAAAGTTGTGATGTCAGTTGAAAACAGACCTGATGAATGCAAGCTGGTTCCCAAGTAGGGTTGCCAATACTGACTTGGGGAATTCCTGGAGATTTGGGGGGTATGCTTGGAGAGGGTGGAGGGTGGGAAGAGGAGGGAGCTCAGCATGAAAGTAATGCCATAGAGTTCACCCTCCAAAGGGGAAATCTGTTAGAAAAGCTGTCCCCTGCCTCAGTCTTCAGGAGGTCACCACAGATTTAGTCAGATTGACAGGTCAGGGCACATACAGCATCCTTTCCTTCCTGTTATCTGATCCCATCCCCTTTGAAGTAGAATGCTATTCTTAGGGACGAGTTTCCTTCCTTCCAGCTTGACACCTCTCCCACACACAAATACTTCCTCTCCCACACACACACACAAAGAAGGAGCACACTTTCTCTCCATCTTTCAACAATATAACGCAGGGGCCATCCTCCCTGCATACATACCCAACCTAGGTTCTAGGTCAGGGGCGGTAAACTGCGGCTCGGGAGCCGCACGCAGCTCTTTCACACATATTGTGTGGCTCCCAGCAGGGCGGCTGGGGAAGCGAAGGGGAGGCATGCTTCCCTGATTG